ACTCAGTAAGTTCTCATTTACAGAGATGATTCCTAAAGCATCTCTGAATGAGTCAATAAGCCATCTCTTAGAGCCCAAAAGAGCTACAGTCCCAGACCAAGACATTCAAAAAGCAAGGCATAAGAAACATTGCAAGGCATGAAGCCCTTAGATGTCTGAGATGAACAGCTTTACGGGATGGGTAAAAAGCATTTCATGGATTGCTGCAAAAAGTCAAAAAGCAAGGCATAAGAAACATTGCAAGGCATGAAGCCCTTGGATGTCTGAGATGAACAGCTTTACGGGATGGGTAAAAAGCATTTCATGGATTGCTGCAAAAAGGCACAACTGTGCCCAAGCTAGTGGGTTCACACACCCGCTAGGAGCCAGCAATGCCACCCATAAGTTTCAACACAGAGTCTTTACTGATTGCAGCTGCAAAGCTTTCTCAAGGATAGAGAAAAGCCACGAATATTAAAGGTGTGTCAGTGCTATGACTTCAAACCTCACACTCTTCTTTACCATGACAACAAAGTTGGTTGAACTGAATAATTTTACAGGAAAATTCTAGTTTTATTTTTCTTTGAGGACATGCTGGCTATCCTGCTTCATAAACTCGAGTGATTCAGCGCGATCCTAAACAGCCAATCAGCGGCAGGTCAACCTGGAATAGGCTGAGGTAGCAGGAGCTCAAGCTGCCCTCGTAATACATGTCACTGTGGACTGGTGTCACCTTCTCTCCACAGATGCCATTTCCTGTTAAAGTTGATAGTTCTGACATACAAGAAAATGTGCCAGGATCAGTCACATAGTCCGAGGAAAGCTGTGGTGAAGTAAATACACCTGTATGTGATAATTGCTAACGACATTCCATGAAACAGAAGGGTGCACTTGGGAACAAAATGTACCTCATCCCAAATCAGGGTTAACCAGCAGCATCTCTGAGTTGAGTGGGCAGTTCAGACATACACACATGCACTTACATCTAGATTCCACCTTGGTTCGATCTCTGTAGATGGGTACCATGTGATCAGAAAGGTGCCTCACCTCTGGGACACTTCATTTCAATTCTGAATGGGCTGCATTAAAACCTCACATATGCCTTCCTTCCTCTGACACCCTCTTCCAAACGTCAGCTAAGGAAAACACCATGAATTTCAATCCTCTCCAAACCATCACCTCATCTTTCCCATAGAATAAAAATCACTGTTTAGAAAAACTCCCAAATCCAATAACAATTAGAGACGCAATCAATAGTTCTGTGAAACGAGAACCCCCCCCCCAACAAATTCCCCAGGAATTAACAAAATGTAGAGAGAAATCAGTGAAGGCTAATAAAGATGATCCAGGAAGACATTATTGCCACTGGATGGACTAATACTTGTTACTGTTCGAAGCAGTACAGAGAAATGCTATGGAGCAGAAGATGCCACTAAACAAACTACAATCTGTTAATGACTGTTACAGAAATCTCTATGTATGAAACTAAGCTGGACATGTCTAACTTCCCCACCACAATGATTATACAAAATCAAGGTATGTTTTTCATCTACAAATTCTGACACCTTAAATATGGAGCGATCATTTCCCACATAACACTCTCACTTTTGCATTTTACCTCTCTTTTCATCAACCTAGGTGTTTCCAGGGCTGTGAGCAATGAACTTTCCATCAGCCACATTTTCACCTAATTAACCCCCCTGATTACAATAATTAGTATTGATTCACTCTTTGAATGACTTCCCAGGTATTCAAGCACAATCTGCACTTGCTATAAAGTTCTAGATATGAATATTAATCAAACGCTCTCCTTTGTTTTGCAGCTCCAGCAGGATATTTTGCAATTGCATACACTTGTAATTTTAAAAATAAAAACTGTCAGGTTTTATTTTAATAAATAAAGGTATATTAGTACACTGAGGTTTCAGATCTCAATCTGTACTCTGCTGAACACAGCTATATTTCTGAGGCTCCTTTATAAAGGGATTCAGGGTGCAATTATTATTTTCTATTGAAATAAAACATTTTCTCAGTTTAGGTCTTTTACTATTCCTTTTCTGCAGATCTGAGCTTAGAATTAAATTTTATTTCAAATTTGTTTAGGTCACTGTCCAGAGGAATCATTACACATAGAGGCTTATGGCAGGATACAGATTATGAATCTTGGAAATAGATGTAGACAAGTTTGCTAACTTCTCGCAACCTCACACCTCCCCTATCAGGTTAAAGGAAAAGACATCTATGTATGATGAGTGCTGGATTGGGGGTGGGGAGTGTCTCCAAATTCCGGAAGCTGGTAATGGATCAAACAGTCGGAGAAGAAAAGTGAGAAGGGATTTCCCTTGTTTCTGGACCAAACTGTTATGCCCAGGAATTAAAGCAAATAGTTAAATAATTGGTAATTGAGTCAAAAATCCAACATGGAGGTTTCCAAGTGATCCCTTTAAGTGTGTTACTGACAGGAGTTAGGGAGATCACAGAAGACTACTTTTCTCCCAAACCACAGAAAAATTGACTTGCAACCTTTGTTTTGGATTAAAAATTCTCCATGAAAGTAGAATTTGGGTGTGCTGGTAACATTGGGCCTGCTTCAGATATAAAAGCTTCACCAATTACCTTTTATGAGCTCATCCTAAAAGCAATTATTGGTATACCCGATGGAATGAACAGTTCAGATCCCATTGGAAGTAAGAGAACATAATAAAGATGCATTTAAAATCCACTCTATTCACAATGGATAACTTTAAAAATATTATTATACTGCATACATATGTTTTGGGTGCTCCTAGGCTCTAAAAATATCGTCAATATAAAAATCTTTTCTTGAGAAGGCAATTCTATTTAGCCGGAAACATTTAATAATTCTGAATTAAATGTTTTATAACATTTCAAATTAGTTTTTAAAAATGAAACTCATGTCCAAACTCTAAAAAATAGCTAATATTTCATAACTGTGTTTTCATAAGTAATATATCTTGTTCCTTATTTACTGGGAACCTCACTAATTTGAATAAAAATATAATCCAACAGGAAATGTTTGCAACTAAATGTTTTTAAAATTTTGCCCCTTAAAATGATTTCCTGTCTGTTTTTAAAAATTAGGCCCTTAATCTTTTTCAATAAATTTACTAATATATTTTGATATATTGCTCTGGCACAAATAGCTAATTAAGCAAAACACTAAAATATTAGATAAGATACATTCTTCACAGAAATCAACCTTAGTAAGACGATTTTCATGTAAATCAATTATCATTTACTATTCTAAGGCCAGTTCTTTTATGTCTAATGTGGGAATAAAAATTGTTTCAATATTTGAGAAGTTTGAAACACATTTTTCCATTTTCTCTTTCTAAAGTCTCACTTGTTCTCACCTTAGAAACCAATGCTTATCTTACAAAATGAAAGATATTTGAAGACATGAGAAACATTTGCCCTGCATACAAATGCATTTTATGAGGACATAAGCGTAAATCAAATATCAATATATTCCACAGAGACCTTTAACTTAACAACTTAATAAGCTATATAATAAGAGTTAGTGACCAAAATTGTAAGAGCAAAAGTTTTCACTTGTCCTTGAATTTCTAAACTATTTATATACATGGATGTCAAAAGGGGAAGTAGAGACTAAATGATAATTTACTTAAACATTAAAAACATTCCTCTTAACTTCTCTTTTATGCTACGTTCCATATGTCCTCCAAATGGGCAAATTTAGAATCCTGAAACATTAAATACCGTAAAGGCAGGTCTGAGCACGAGGAATTTGCCAGAATGACAATAGTATTACAAGCATTCTCAATCAATAAGTTTTCTTTCAGTAGTTAACAGAGAGTAAGCAATAAATCTCTAACTTAATCCAACCAACATAACTGCAAAATGTGAAAAGCTGTACGAACGGTAGATACTAAATTTTTTTAAAGGCACAAAACCACAAACAAGCAGTTCAGAAAGCTCTTCCTTCTGTATAGTCCATACAAACAAGATTATAAGAGATAAAAAGGGTGTTGAGAAAGAAAAAAAAAAAAAAAAAAAAAAGGGGTGGAGAAAAAAAAAAAAAAAGGGGTGGAGAAAAAAAAAAAAAAAGGGGTGGAGAAAAAAAAAAAAAAAGGGGTGGAGAAAAAAAAAAAAAAAGGGGTGGAGAAAAAAAAAAAAAAAGGGGTGGAGAAAAAAAAAAAAAAAGGGTGTTGAAAAAAAAAAAAAAAAAAAAAAAAAAAGCCCCAGACATGCATTAAGCTAGTTTGACAGCTCCATTGTTCAGCGGATCCCATTGTCAGACCCAAAGATGTATTCAGTGGTACACTGTCTGCTAGCAAATAAACAAAAGACTACATTTTTCAAAGCAGGATGCCAATTCTATCATAATTCTCTCTCTGCTTCCCCAAAGGTCAGTGGTGCCTCCTTCCTGCTATGTGATAGAACCCCAACACAGATTCAGGAAACAAATATTTGCTGTCAATACATGGGACCCAGGACGCCATGCATGAACAGAGGTCTCCAAACAGGTACACATTCTGGCAAACAGGATAAAGTGATCCAAACCTGGTAACACAGGAGGACTATTTAGGTAGGCTAAGTCCAGATTAGAGCGGTATTTGGAACGCAAGTCTAATATGGAGTCTCCTCAGCTCCTTTTTCGGTGATTATTCCACGCAGAGTGCAAAATAATGAAAGAGGCTTAGACATTGCAAAGGAAAAGACGAACCAAGAGCCAGATTCGGAGCCCTTAAAACCATCCACTGGTCACTCACAAATAGCAGCGAGCAAATACATGATATGCTTTCAAAAGGCAACTAGTGCAAATATAACTCGCACACAGCGGTCCTTCGCCTTTCTCTCGCTTGCTTTCTTTCTCCCCGTCTCTTGGTCTCAATTTCGTTTCCCTCTCTCCTTCGATTCTTTTCCCCCCCTTCTCTTCTAGGATAAGAAATCTACTTGATTCAGCGCACGATTATCGCCTCAGCCAGCTCTAGAAACTAGAAAAGCATACATTAAAAACAAAGGACACAACAACATACCTTAAAAGCAGCTCCTCATTTCTCATAGTAACAGCGGATTTGGGACAGCGCATGCTTTCTACACTGATAGTCTCAACAAAAGCCAGTTCAGAAGTGCGCTCAAACATCAATGCCACATCGCTGTTCACTAATGCGCCCTCTCTCCTCTCTCCCTCTCACTCTCTCTCTCTCTCTCTCTCTCTCCCTGTTTCCCACTCTCTTCTCTAGTCTAATGCTGAATAGTAGAGCAAAGAGGGCTCCTGCAGATTCACTAAGTAGAAATAATCCTCTCTGACAAGTTATGTTGTCTATGCATATTTTACACTAATACACTGTGCTGCCTATAGGGGTCTTGTCTGCATCCACTCAAGCCTGGCTGGTGTTAGTTCTCCTAATTAGTATCTTTAAAAATTGGAAAGAAAAACAAGCAACTCATTTACCTTTTTCTTATACATTTAACAGCAAAACCAATTCCACAGTTTCCTTATGCTATCAACTATCAGCAAGCATCGCAGATGACTACCGGAAGATTTGGGTAGGTCAGTGGGCTAAAAAGGATTTTGCCTCTCTTTTCCGGGACACTGCATTCACAGTTGGACTCATCTGTTCCTCTGCTCTTGTACTCAGGAAGAGTGACAAGGTCAAGACCCTTAGCCCCACCCTGGGTCATAGATGCAGAGGATAGATTGGGGGATTTGGAAATAATTTAACTCTGTGAGCACCAAAGTTCTTGTAAATCAGAGCATAATTCAGCTGAAGCAGGGTGTCTCAAAGAGGTAGGCAATGCCAAGATTTTTTGGTCACACTGAAGTCCTAATCAACACAGGAGCATCCTCCTCAAAAGACCCTCAAAAGACCAGTGAGTTGCTGTTTTCCAAAAGGAGAAAAATCTGCTTCTCTATTTATACTCACCGGGCTTTGCACATGCAGTTAACCAGGGAAATACGCATTGTACTTCTGTTTATTGGAATTAGAAGAATTCCATGAAGATTAGCCAAGTAAAACAGCAAGTGAAACACACACACAGAGAAGACGAGATGCTGTGGACTGAACAATCAGTCATCAAAAGTGCAAGCAAAGGCACCATTCCAGGAGGTGTGTGCTGACTGGAAGCCAAGAATGCTCTCAGCTTGGATGGAACAACACAGAACAGCCTGAAACAGGCCTGGGTCACTGAGTACTAGTCTCACTCCCATCCTCCATCAGCATGACCATGCAGCTCAGTAATCATCAAAGCATTATTGGGAGTAATAGTAAAGTGGGGAAAATAATGGTGGACTCTGTTTCCCAACTATTTGAGAGTCTGGAGCACGCCTCCATAACTTGCTACATCTCTGACTTCTGAACTTGGTCTTGGTCCACAGCTAGGGAAATGGAGATGCTCTGGGGGAGAGGGAAGTGATGAAGCTTCTTTAATTCCTGCTGCACAATAATCTTGTTTAGCATCTTAATTGGACTAAAGAATATAAGCAAAGGATAGCAGTCATCATCTCTGTTTCTAGATTGCAATGAGAAGACATGATGAATTGCTTGACAAAAGGCAAATTATGAAATGAGAACCCCGTCTAAAACACCATTTTTACATATTCTTGCTTCATGATAACATATGAAAGTTATTGAATATATATATAATGAATGACCCTGCCAGAAAGTGATATCAAATAAGACCTCAGGTGTTCTTCCAAAGCAAAAAAGGCAACATGCAAATGAGCCTGGAGCCAGAGAGACCTTAGGGAGATAGAGTTCAAGCCTATTCCTGTTGTGACTTGTGCTGAGTGCTGGGGCAGAAGTCTCTTAACCTCTCTGTGGCTCTCTTTGCCCCAGCAGTTAAATGGGGGCAATGAATTCTAATTTGTTTTAAAGCATCTGAAGAGCTTGTAATGAAACTGGGTGTGTTCAGTCAGTGCAAATAGTACAAAAAGTGGAAGGATTGGACTGACATCAGCCATGGGTTTTATCTATGAGAGAGAGAGGTAAAAATATGCTGCTCAGACACAAAGCCCTCTTCTACATACTTCCATACAATTTCTAATGGGGCTAAAATGTGAGGCAGGTACTAACATGTCCAAATAATGCATATGCTTATCCATAAATAGATTCTTAGCACTGGAAGCCAGTGCTCTGTATATGGGGCTATTCTACATTGAAATAAATTATGGATCCATAGTAGTAATGACTGGAATTGAAGCAAACCATTAAATATTTTATATTCTGTCCTCTTCCTTTTTAGTCTAGGGACCTAAACAATGCGAAAGCTATTGAGGTGAGAGTTTAGTACTTGCCCAAACTCTACTACAGTGACAGATTGAGGGCCTGACATCCACTAGTTGCATGTGCTGAACTTGGGGCTATAAAGATGAGGGAATTGAAAGGAGCCACAGTGTTTAATACATTTACATATTGTATAGTATATTATATATTGTATTATATTGTATAGTAAGTTTTAGCCCCAAATCCACATTGAGTTAATTTTTTCCACTTCTTAATGTACCCAGTAAAATATCTTTCCCTTACCTGGTGCTTAATAAATATTTGTTAAATAAAGGAATGAATTTATTTTCTACCACTGGAACTATAGGGAAAGGACCATTTTATTTTCAAAATGTCTTTATGTTGTTTCCTTAACAAACATGTGAAAAAAAACCTTCTTTTTATTCTAACTCAGACATCGATTGGCACAGATGACAACTGAGAAATTCCTTTTATGCCATTTTGTTTTAAAATTGCAAGACCTTTTTACATTTAGCATCTCAGTTAGTCCCCACGACAACACTGGGGGGCAGGCAGAGCTGGTACCATTGCCCCCACTCAGCTGAAGAAGTTCAAGTGCAGGAAGATCAAAATACAACAGCGACTGAGCTTGGGGACTCAGTCCACTGACCCCTGGGCCTGCTTTCTGTCCACTGCACCACACTGGAACCTAGACCTCCACCCGTCGTGCAAAGTGGTACACAGACACACCCTGGCAAGGCACAGCTTTCAAGGGGTGTTTAGTGTAATGATTCTTACACTTTTCTAATGTGATAGTAATAAACTTGAGGATAGTAAGTTAATAAAAAATTGGATAAAAGATTATATCTTGATATTAATGTCATATCAATTCCTTTCTAACTTTATTTCAAATGAAGACTGAGTTGAGACTAAACAGTCTAAGCATTTTGGGGGGTGAATTATTATTATCATTTTTTTAAGATCATCTGCGATAGGAGTTAATTTTTAATAATCCTGATTATTACTAAATTTTATTTATAGGGGCAATTTCTTTCAAAAGAATTAAGTGATAATTAACAGAGAACAACAATAACAACAAAAACTTAGATGTCTTGATGCTGTCTAAATCCAAAGACTTTTTTTTTAACTATATAAATTAAATTTTCAGCTAATAATGGAAACCAGTAAGGTTAAAACTGGAAAAGTACTGTAATGCAGGAATATTGGTGGTGAGGCAAGAATAAGCCAGCTTCTTGATCTTTCTAGATTTGAGCTTCCTAAACCTTTTTAAAAAGGTAAATTATATGTACATTTATTTCTGTTATAGGTAATTTCCAGAAAAAAAGCTAAATTTCCAAATGCAACATAATGACTCCAAATTTTTTCTGTCTTCTGTGCTATGTCTTTGCATTTTGACATTTACATTACAAAGATAATAGAAAGTACTATTGCAGTGTAAGTGTATAATATGAAGTGCTCTAGGGACGCAGAGCCAGGCAGAACCCATTCCTCCTCTGGTGAAGGATGGGGCACTACAAAAATCTAGCCTGCCCTTTAGATCCACATCCTAAAAGAACAATCCTAGAATGTGAAGGCACCAAGAATGTTAAATGTATTTAGCTGCTAGTTTCAGATACCCAGAATTGCCAGGTTTAATGAAGAAACATACCGTATTGTTATAAAGGATGAAAAGAATACACAGAAAAGTTGTGAAGGAAACATGAGCCAATGACCACGGTTTAAAAGAAATGGATTTCTAGCATGCTAAGTGCATGACACATAGTAGGTGCTCAGCAAAGTTGATAAATATACATGTGATGGATGAATTTGCTTTCATTCTGCTGAAGACCAAAGTTCCTCTGACCCAGATTTGTCAGCCTCAGAGGAAGAGTCTCTGTGGGTGTGATGGATTCAAAGCAATGAAGTCTGCACGAGTGGCGAACCCATGGCAGCAGCAGGGATGGGAGCCCAGAACTAATGAGAAATGGCACAATCCCAGAGCCCTCTCCCACCCTGGGGGGGAACCTTCAAAGCCAAAAGGATATAGTTACTACAAATCACTACCTCAGACAAAACTGATGGTTTAAAGTAAAACCCCAGCAGCCTTGGTAAAAAAAAGGGTTTGGTGGTAATCTGAGGAACTTTGGAACATAAATTTTACTTGTGCACTCAAAAATTCCTTCCAAGTCACCGTTTGGAAGCAGGAAGCAGCCATCCCAGTGACACACCCAAGGGCCCAAAATTCCAAATGGACACTCCTTCCACAAGCTGTGGGACTATTAACTCATTTTCAAACAGGAGATGTTTACTGGGATGAGTGGGGCATAGAGATGAATAATCAGCAAGAATAATTGTACAGCCCCTTAAAATGACAAAGTGTCATATTTACCAATAAGTAGGTGTAAATAATAAACCATGAAGTACTTAGAGCTCTAAGAAGCCACTTGAAAATAGGTACTACTTAAATTTAAGAGGTATTATTATAAAGAGTAACACTGACTGCTTGCTGTAAATGAACACCAAGAACTGGTTTTAGAGAACTATGTCTGTGTAGGTAGAAAAAGATCCATTGAAGACAAATAGAAGAAAGTAAAGAATTTCCCATTAACGTAGACTACCATAAATATCTTCATTGATAAAATAATGAACTTTGGTTTGTGAACTCTTATGACTTGGTAAATGTGTTCACAGCTGAGTGACCACTTTTGACCTAATGTTTTGCCAAGGGGTGTTCTCAGGCAGAGGAGAAATCTTGAGAAGACCACAGGTGAATATACATAAGTCAGGCATTAACATTTGCATGGAAAAAGAACCAAGTTTATTCTTGCTATTTTTGAGGGAGACATACACACAAGCAACTACATTTCTGCCTGTCCAAACTGCCACGTCAGAGAAACATAGTAACTTGACCATTACCCATGCATCGGAGATGGGAATGTAGAATTTGATACACTTGGGGAACCCTCTTTTTTAATGGTTTTGGATCTGGAGAATCCTAAGAA